TATTCTCTCAAAAAATACCTGTATATATGTTACTTCTCATGAGTGTTACACATGTTTAATTAATTTACTAATTTCGTTCATTTTAAAACTGTTGGAAGTATATATTTTTAAACCCAAGAACCAGTCATATATTATTGAACACAGAGCCAACCTTTCAACAATTAAAAAATCCCGCTTTTTACTTTAAATTCTGAAGAAAAAAAATTCGTAGTAACAGATAACAAAATTTATGTCATTGTAATGGGTATCATTCAGTGCGAACAAGCTTTTAACGGGATTTTTACTTTTTCTGGTTTCTTTGAGACCAAATGAAGGTAGGTATTTTCACACCAAACGTAGTTAGGGCCGGCTTTAAAGTAACTTTATCTCCCTCCTACGGGAAATACTAGTTGTGAAATTTGAAATTTCTAGAACAGTTCGATAAAGTTACTTTATCGCCCTGTTATAGGACGATAATTAAGACTTCAACGATTTTTATTCCACTTTTTTACTTTTCTTAATTTAATTTTCCATACATCAGAACTACAAAAGTTATTAATAAGTTCTAGAACAATACAACCTTTTATTTTGTCTTGTTTAAAAATAAAGTGATCAATCTGTTTTAACATTTTGTGGTTTTTCAATACTATTCCTGAATCTAACTGTACCCACAGATACTAAACAATACGATAATCAGAATAATAATAAGATATCAACAATAGTAATATGTCAAACCACGGATATTTTAAATTCCTTGCTGACGAGAACTGACGAATGGCTGGACAGCTAGTGAAAGGGTAGACCTCAAGATAGGATAGAAGTGTATTGTTTCTAACTATGCGGAGAACTATGGGTTGGCCAGCGAGCTAGAACAAGACTATAGAGCTACAGGGGTCAGCTGATTAAACTTGATTTGATCAACAAGAATATATTGATAGAAATCATTTTATAACTGTAAACAACAATAGTAAATATATTTAAAATTACGTAAACTTAATTTTTACATTTTTAGGATACACATATATATATATCCTGCTACCCTGCTATCTTCGGTGATTGACAGGCTTTTCCTGAAGCTAGAAACTTATATCTTAGTTTAATTTAAATTTCAAAATTCTGACATTTTGGGGTTACTTGGCCGGAAGTATTGAATTTGTTCCCTGAATTTTCACGATTACTCGAAATTTATGATTTGGAAAGAACTACGTAATTATGATTAAAACATTTAATTTTACATTAAAAGCAAGAGATTTTTTAGATGATTGAAATATGAGCAAACTACAGATTATTTACAATAAAAATAACCCATGATGTGGCAATATTTAATAATTTCATTTTGGTTAAAATATCTTTGAAAACTCACCATAACTCAACATAACGTAACTTAAATGTTTTCAAAATTAAATTTGACATTGAGTTTTTCTTTTATTGTTTTCTTTTTTTGGTTTCCTTTATTGTTTTCTTTTATTGTTTTTGTTTGAATCTCACCTCTGATGGTAGGTTGAGATCAAATCTTGATAATTTTTGCTTTAAGACCGGATCATTTTATGATCATGAAAATGCATGACACTAGTCTGAAATTTTTGTATTACAGAGCAAGGTCAAAAAACCTAAATTATAAAAGTATTAGATCAATGACATTACAATATTTTTTACTTTCCTTTAAATATCTCCTGTATAAAATTCCTGAATAAAATGTTTATAGTAGATTAAAATCAGAATTTGTTCTGGCATAGATTTAGGAGTTTTTACAATTATAAGCGTTAAAAGAAGTTTAAAACATTTCTTACATTTTCCAGGTCGTCTTGATTTTTCCATCAGTTTAACTCCTCCTGGTAGCTACTCCTGTAGCTGTGGTTGTAGAACTACTCCTGTAGCTGTGGTTGTAGAACTACTCCTGTAGCTGTGTTGTAAGAAATACTAACTCCAGATAGCTACTCCTATAGCTGTTGTAGAGGATACTCCTATTAGCTACTCCTGTAGCTGTTGTAGAGGGTACTCCTATTAGCTACTCCTGTAGCTAAGTTTGTAGAAAGTACTCCTGCTCCTGTTAGCTACTCCTGTAGCTTTGGTCTACTCCCGTAGTTGACAGTAGAGGACAGGGTAACCCTTAAAAATCACCAATGTTTTAATTTTGTTCATTAAACAGTTTATAAATAGATTTTCACCTTAGGCTATTAATCCTGACCCCCGCTTGCTCATAGTTTATACTTAATGGTGAGAAACCATCTGAAAATATTCAGATTTAAAGAAAGAGGGAATTTTTAAGAACTTCAATATTTTGCAGATAATGTAATCACAAAGTTTATCGCCAGGAAAGTTTCTTGCACTAGTCTCACTTCTCCGTTTAAGTCTCCTAGAATGGAGATTTTATTAATTGAGTTTCTTT